AATCGATGCCAATGGAAGCAGCAGTCAGGACATTAGATGATGTGTAGCATTGGGAAAGTCAACTGCAAAGGAACTGTTTCAAGTGCTGAGGAGCAAGGATGTCTCCTTGAGGACGAAGGTGCGCCTGACACAAGCCATGATATTTCCAATCGCCTGGTATGTGAGAGCTGGACAATGAATAAGGAAGACCGAAGAAGAGTTGATGCTTTTGAGTTGTGGTGCTGGCGAAGAATGCTGAAGGTAGCACGGACTGCTAAAAGAACTAACAGATCTGTCCTGGAGGAAGTACACCCAAAATGCTCCTTGGAAGCGAGAATGGCCAGACTTCGTCTCATCTATTTTGGTCATGTTGTTAGAAGGGACCATTCCTTGGAGAAGAATGTCATGCTTGGTAGGGTGGAGGGTTGACGAAAGAGGGGGAGGCCTTCAACAAGATGGATTGACATGATGGCTGAGATGATGGGCTCAAGTATAGCAGGGATCGTGGAGCCTGCGTGGGATCGGGCGGTGTTTCGTTCTGCTGTGCATGGGGTCGCTATGAGTTGGAAACGACTCGACAGCACCTAACAACAACAACAACAGAAGACTGGCATGCAATACATGAGTTAGGTCTTAAGGATAAGTAAAACAGCAAAGTAGAGGGGGAAACAGCATGCCAGGCAGAGTGTAAGCAAAGGTATGAATAAGAGAATGGTTCTGCAAGGAACCCTAGTAGTCAATGTTGCTGAATCATAAAGCTCAAAGGAAGCAAGAATCCAGACACTATACATTCATGGTGCCACAGTTAAGCACTCTGCTGCTAATTGAAAGGTTAGTGCTTTGAACCCACTTGGCAACTTCATGGGACAAAGACCTAGTGATCTACTTTCCTAAAGATGACAACCAAGAAAACCCTAAAGGCAGTTCTAGTCTGTCATATGGGGTCATTATGAGTTTTTGAAATTGACTCCACGGAGTCAACAACAATGTCATATTCAGTTTTCGACACATAACAACAACAACAATCATACAATAGGCAAATGACTTGCTTTTCCAAAGAGAACATTCAAATGGTCACCAAACCTATGAAAATATGATCAATCTCATCATTAGCTATTGGAGACATGCAAATCAAAATCACAGTGAGATACCATTTCACTCCTACTAAGATGACAAATTTATTTCCATAGTGATACTACCTTGGAAACCCAAGGAGGGGTTGCTAAGAGTTGGATCCAACTCGACGGCAGTGAATTTGGTTTGGTTGGTTAAGATGACTAAGAAGCTTTGGTGGCACAGTGCTTAAGGCATTTGACTGCTAACCAGAAGGCTGGAAGTTGAAACCCACCAGCTGCTCTGCAAAAGGAAAATGGGGCAATAAATCTACATCTGTAAAGATTTATAGCCTAGGAAAGCCAATGAGGGTCACAGAGTTGGAAATGACTCATTGCCAGTCAATATGTTTTTTTATTGTTGTTGTTAAGATGACTAATATTTTTTAAAAAAGAAAATAACTAATGTTGGTGAGAATGTAGAGAAACTAGAACCTTTTATCTATTGCTGGTGGCAATGCAAAATGGTACATACAGCCTTTGTGGAAAACAGTGTGACAACTCCACAATAAACTAAAAATAGAACTACTATATGACCCAGCAAC